ACGTGGGCCTCTGCGAGGCCTTGTGGGGGACACACGCTCGGGGTTACGGCTGTGTCTGCCGTGTGCAGGCGTGTCCTCTCCAGCCTCCGTGGGGCTGTTTGTGCGGTCCCAGCCTGTCCCGCCCTGACGGCTCGCTCTTCCCTCTGCGTTTCTGAGAAATGGACTCGTGGCTGGGGTGACCTGTCTCAGCCCTTGACCCTCTCTCCTGGCTGCATTTGGGGTTTCCCTTTCGGTCCCTTCAGCTTGAGGACACACCGGCGGGGGTGCTGGGGGCACAGCAGGCTGCGACCCCAAGCTCTGGGAGGCTGGAGCAGCCCCTTCTGTGGTTAGTACCCGAGGTTGGGCCATCGGGTGAGCTGCCAGAGGTTGGCCAGTGGAACCCTAGTGCGGGGGAGGCACCTCTGCAGGAGAAGGGCCCTTGGGCTTCAGAGGTGGCCTGGCCTTGGCTCCCCAGCGGCCTGGTGGAAGGGGCCAGCAGGCCGTGAGCAGAGAGCTGGGCCGTGATGGGGCTTTCTCTGCCACGATCTCGCCTGCCCCTGGAGCGCCCTATGCCAGTGTCCTTGGGGCCTTGCCCAGTCTGAGTAGCTGGAGTGCAGCTTGCTGCTGGCCGCCCGCGGCTCCTGGGCGCGGAGGACCCAGTCGAAGGCTTGTGCAGGCTTTTTATCCTGTGGCGGCAGCCTCCTCAAAGACTCCTGGCTCCCGCGACCAGGGGCATGAAGGAGGACCCATGGCAGGCTCAGGGGGCAGTCCACAACACACCTGCCTCAGGTTCCCAGAGGGGACTCCAGGAGCTCACTGCAGATCAGCCACGGGCTGCACACTGGCCTGGGGCCCTCCCCTGTCTGCCCAGACGAGCTGCAGGACACCTGGCAGGGCGGGGGGGGGGGGGGGGGAGGTGGCATTTTCCACCCAACCACAGAGCTCAGAGCTCACAGGCGCTCTTATTGCTGAGTTGTTTCTGCCTGTGTCACCCTCAGGGTGGGGGTCCCTCACATCCCTGCCAGCCCTGCAGCCTGGCCATAGATGGGCTGGGAGGACGGTGGGCACCTGGCAGGACTGGAACCTGGGACCTTGGAGAAGAAATCCCAGGGGGTCAGCGGGTGGGGCGGGGGCTGCTTTCTGGACCCTCCCCAGGCTTGGACTCTGGCCTGTCGGGAGGCAGGCTCGGTGCCCACGGCAGCCTCGTCCGGCCGCCAGTCCTTCTTGAGTCTGATGTGCGAGGCCTGCCCTAGAGGACGTGTCCCCACATGGGGTCGCTCCGCAGCAGCTGCTGAACGTCGCGTGCGGGAGGGCAGGGAGGTGACATTCCTTGGGTCCCCAGCCAGTGTTCTCTGCACGAGGACGGGGTTCTTGTTTGTGGGATCCTGGAGCATCACAGAGCAAGCAGGACACGTGTCAGGGCTCGAGAGAGGACTGTGTGGGAGGCAGAGTCTCGGTGACGAGAACGTGCCTTTGCAGCACGTGTGGGGGAGCGGGCGCCGGTTTGGTTTACAATGAATTGGGGGACCACACGGTGTGGTGCGTGGGTCTGTCCTGCTGGGGTCGGTGTGGCCGCTGGCCTCGGGGTGCCTGGCACTCACACAGACCCTGCCCCCTTGGAGGCTTCCAGACCACAGCAGCCAAGGGGAGCCTCACTGCCACCAGCTGGCTGTGCTGGGCCCAAGTGGGGAAGGGCTGCTTAAGTACAGCGGGGGGCAGGAGGGAGCCCCTTCTGGGGAGGTGGTGGTCGGGGCTGGATATGCACAGCTTGCTGGGGCGGGGGGCCTTGGGGTGTGATGGGCTCCAGGCCGCGTTTCTGAAGCCCTGGCTGTGTTGGGGAGGGCTGCGGTGTCCTGCGGGGGCCCCAGGCAGGCGGGAGGTGGCCTAGTGAGTGCGCCTGGAGAGGCGGCAGGGAGCACTCAACGGAGATCTCTGGGGCTGAGTGTGGGATGATGGTCAGCCATAGGGGGTGGCGCGAGCGCCAGCACCTCGGGTGGCCAGGATCTCAGTCCCCGCCCCTGGCTTCCCGCTGCCCCGGATGCCAGGGAGCTGCTGTCAGGGGTCCGGGGTGTCCCCAGAGCGTGCCAGCAGCACCCTGTCCTGGGCCCGGGGGAGCAGGAGGCCGGCCTAGTGGTCGGTGGGACGACGGGGGCCAAGGAGGCCCCGCCCCGACGCCTGTTGGCCCTGAGGTCCCTTCAGCTCCGTTATGGACTCCCGGGGAGATGGCGAAGGTGGTGCCGAGAGGGTCGCGGCCTGCTGCGGGGCCCTGTGCTGCAGGTGATGGCTGTGGTGCCCTTGGGCCTGCCAACTGCCCACCTGGAATTACGCAAGCCACCTGGGCTGGCCTGTGCCCTTTGTGCGGGGCCCGTGGGGTGGCGGCCGCTGCAGCCCAGTGGGTCCTGGCGCCCCGTGCCCCCAGGCCGTGCTGACTGCCGCGTCCCCCACCGCCTCACTGAGTTGTGGGGATGCCACCCCCGTGTGGCACCCCGGCCCGACCCGCCACCTCTTGGAGCACAGTGTATCACCAGGGACGGAGCAGACGTGTGCGGCGGGGTGGTTGTCGGGGTTCCATCCGCACCGGGTGGGGGGGTGCCCACGGGAGCCCCTCTGAGCTGGCCTGCTCACCCTCCTGCCGACGACAGCAGTGGGACATCGGGAGGGACGCAGAAGCCTGGAGTGCTCGGCACTGGCAAGTGCGGGGGCAGCGCCGTGGTCAGGCTCCTGGAGCCCCGTGCGCTCTGGGGAGGGGGAGGCCGAGACCCCACCCCAGCCCCACCCCGATGCTCCGGAGCCCCGTGTGGGTCATCGTGGGGCAGGGCGGAGGGACGCGGGCAGCCGTGGGCACACCCCGCCTGGCCGCCTGCAGGCGCGTGGGCCGGCGTGTGGGGAGCGCGGGCGGCCCTGGGTTCCGCGGGAGCACCTCCGCCGGGGAAGCCCTGGCCGTGAGGCTCTGGCTGTGAACGAGCAGGAGATGGCTGGACACGCTTTCTTGGTGTCCTCGCGTGGGTGACGGGGGGTTTCGTTGCCCTGGAGGAGGAGCGCCCCCTCGCTGTCCCGTGACCGGTCGTCCTGGTGGCCGGGCACACGCCGACCCGGTCTCACTGCCACCTGCCGCCCCCGGGCTGTTCGCCAGGACGCCCTGGACCTGCGCTGGGCGGTTCAAACAGGTTCAGGCACTTTACGTCTTGCAGTAGCATCTCCGTAATTTCACCGTCTTTTCCGTTTTACTACGTCCTGACAAGCGTCTTCTAGTTTGTGTGAGTTAACCTTTCCCCGCAGAGCCGTCGGGGATGACGAGGGGAGCCCTGCCGCTGGCGGACGGTGTGCCGCGAGTCCGGGGCCCTGACCCCACCGCGCCTGTGCGTTCTCGCCCGCCCTCTGCCGCCCCCCCCCCCGCCCCCCGTTGTCCGTGTGGCCTCTGCACTCGTTCTGGGCATTGAGGTCACTCAGCGGGGCTCCCACGTGGCGTTTCCAGGAACGAGATGGAGTTTGGGGTTTCCACGGCGCAGATGTCCCCAAGCCTGGGCCTGGCGGCGTCTGGGGGTCCCTCCCTGGGGGCTTTTCCTTGTCGCGCTGCTGCTGCTGGCCTGGGCTCGGGCTCCCCCTGCGTCCGGCCCGGGCCCGCAGTCGCCGCGCGTGTGCAGCTTGGAGCCTGGGACCCGTGGCCTGGCCTTTGAGCCCCGCGCCTGCCGACGCTCCCCTGGCTGGGCACACGCTGCCCCGGCCCACGGGCCGCTCTAGGCATCTGAACCTCGGCTGGGTGTGGGCAAAGCGGGGCCTCCGCAAAACATGGTTTTCATAGAAGAGCTGAGTTGGGCCGCTCGGAGCGCCTGAGGGTCCCGTCCCCTTGGCGGGGCTGCGGGCTGCGGGGACCCGCGTGGACACAGGGCGCCGGGCCGCAGCTGAGGCGTGCAGGAGTGTGGTCTGCCCAGGGCCTCGCCGCCCGGGACGGTCCCGCTGGGGACCCAGGCTGGCTCCTCTAGCTTTAGGAAGAAAACCGCAGACTGGCCACAGCAGCAGGGCCAGGACCCCTGCTCACTCGGCGGCCCCTGCGCTCGGGCCCTGCCCCCCGCCCTTGGTGGCCGCTGGCTGGAGTCTGCGTGGACCGCGCCTTGGGCTGTGGGGGAACGCGGCGGGGGATCGGACCTGGGCTGCGGGGTCACGGCCCCGGGGCACAAGTCACCCTCGCCGGCAGCGGGCACTGGGGAGTACAGGCTCCCGGGAGGCCTACGCTGGGGAGCCCGGTGGCCCCTGGCCCGCACCCAGCTGCTCGCCCCCTGCTCCTCTCGTGAAGGTCAAGGTCGCGGGGGAGGCTCGTGTCTGGGGGAGGGGGGCTGCACAGCCGCACCCCTAATGGGGCCTGCCCCCCCCCACCATGGAGAGAAGCAGGGCGCAGTCACCGAGAGTCCCTGAGTGCCCTCGGTGCCACCCTCCCGGCTCGTAAGGGGAGAGCGACATCTCGTTCCGTGGCTCAGTGGGTATGTTCCTTACGGAGCAGAACGTGGGGGGTCACGTGTGGTTTCCTTTGGGGGTCGTGAGGCTGTGAGCCGGTGACGAGGTCCAGGTGCTCTGGGCCTGCAGCCCGGGCTGGGCCTGGCCGGGTGGAGTGTGTCCCTGCCCCTGCCTGCCTGCCACCTCCTGGCCCCCCGGCCCCCTGCGCACCACCCCCAGCCCCCTGCCCCGGGTCCCAGGCCCCTGTCCTGGGTCCCCAGCCCACCACCTCCTGGCCCCCACCCCCCCTGCCCCAGGTCCCTGGCCCTCAGCCCACCACCCCCTGTCCCTGCCCCGGGTCCCCAGTCCCCAGCCCACCACCCCCGTTCTCTGTCCTGGGTCCCCAGTCCCCTGCCCACCACCCCCTATCCCCTGCCCTGGGTCCCCAGCCCACCACCCCCCAGGTCCCCAGTCCCCAGCCCACCACCCCCCAGGTCCCCTGCCCCAGGTCCCCAGCCCCCTGCCCCAGTCCCTGGCCCCCAGCCCACCACCCCCCAGGTCCCTGGCCCCCAGCCTGTCACCCCCTGGCCCCTGCCCCGGGTCCCCAACCCCCTGCCCACTACCCCTGAGCCCCTGCCAGCCGTTCCCACTGCCCCGAGCAGGACTCTCAGCTGAGCCTGGAGGGCCAGGGAGAAAGGAGCCCTGGTGCCGTCGCCAAGGGCAGCTCCCAATCTCTGGGTAAGGGGCAGCTATGTCCCCCACAGCAGAGACAGGTGTGGCTTGGCCAGGGCCTGTCTTCGGGGAGCAGACTCCTGGTACGGGCAGTGGCCGGCGTGGGCGAGGGCTCCAGGTAGATGCCTCTCGGGACTAAGGAGACTCGGCTCCATGTGGGCCTCAGGTCACCCTGGGCCCGTGTTCATCGCGACCCTGACCTCCCACCTTGTGGCATCAGCACTCTCTGACCAGGGGCCCCCCATTTCCCTGGCGGAGAGCCTGTGTTCCCCAGGCTCAGTGTCCCCGCAACCTGGGAGCTGGTTACGCGGGGTCAGCGTGTGGGCTTGAAACCCGCAGAGGGAATCGGCCGCATTCAGTCCGTGAGGCCGGGTGGTGGACCGTCCCAGCCTGTCCACTCGCAGCGCAGGCCCGCCCAGCCCTGGCCTGGCCGCGGCTTCAGGGAGGCCAGGCTGCCTTCTGCACCGTGGAGCCCAGGCCACCACTCGGCAGGGACGGAGGTCCGCACCCCGAGGGGAGCGTGGCCAGCTGGCGCGGCCCAGGCCCACGGACAGGATGCAGGACACCTGCCCTCGCTGTGCAAGCGTCTGGAAGGGGGAGCCACCATGGGTTCCAGGGGCCACAGGCCATCCCTGCAGCAGGCCCGTCCCCCGTGGCCCCACCCCCGTGGCCCCACCCCCTGGAGCTCCTGCTCTGCGCTGGGCCTCCCGAGGGCCAGATGACATCAAGGGCATGGTGTGCGGCCTGGCCACGCCTCCGGGCAGCCCCGCTGTGGTCCCCGCGCGCAGAGGGCCACGCGCTCAGGGTGGGTCCAGCGCTCCCGGGGCCTGAGATCTCAGCCTGTCCCAGAAAGGTGTGTGACCCACGCACGTGACCTCAAGTCTCATGGGAGCTGTGTCAGGTCAACTGCCAGTCCCGGGATGTGCCTGTGGGGCCCGCGTGTGGGGGTGGGGAAGTGGCGTCCGTGTCCCAGCCAGCATCCCCGGGCCTCCCCTCCTGGCAGCCTCGTCCCGGAGGCCGGGGAGGCTGTCGGCAGCATGAGTAGGAGCTGGCATGGCGACCCGAGGACGCGGAGGGACCTTCAGAGTCAGCCTCCCGCTGCACATGCGTCCCCGCTGCGCCCAGCCGTCCCCTCCGCCAGCCGCGTGCCCGCCTGCAGGCAGGTCCCCCCAGGGGCAAGGATGCGGGGAGAAGCCTCGACTGTGGGCCTCTGGCATCTGTGAGCTGTAGCTGGCCCTCGATGGTGTTTTAACGTGTCTCTTGTGTTTAATTTTTAGTCAGACTTTGACCCCGGCACAGGCTTCAGTGGTCGCCGAGGATCAGGAGCCTAGGAGCTTTGGTTCAAGACAATTAAAGACGTGGGATGAGGATCCAGTGACAGACGCGGTTCTGCCTGGGGATTCTGAAGATAAAACGCTTTGAAAAGTCGAATTCATGGTCGTGGAAGCCGAGCCCATATTAAGAAATGTCAGGTTGGTAGGGGCTCCTGGAGCGCGCAGCAGCTGGACGCCCGTCCCTCCGTGCCCGCGGAGCGGCTGTCCGCACCGGCTGGGACGGCCCAGGTTCCCCGGCCGGTGCGGCGCATCAGGACAGCGACGCCCCATGGTGTACAGCCTCTGTGAAGCCCCACGGATGGCGGAACCGGGGGGGCCTCGGGGGTCTCAGATGGGCAGGCCTCAGGTCAGCGCTGGGCTGGTTCTGGTCGTCCTCCCGTGAACTCCGTGCCAGGCTAGGGTGTTACCACGCAAACCCAAGTCCTGTTCTGGCGCCGGCCGTGGGTCGGGAGGCGGGTGCCTCCCTGGGCAAGGGGGTGTCAGCGAGCTGGGGCCCCGGCGCTGCTGCCCGGCAGGCCCGCGGACGGCATCCCCTCCCTGCTGCCCGCGGGCCCTGGCGTGCTCCTGCGGGAGGCGCCGTCGCGTCGGTGCTCCACAGCCTGCCTTGTCGCCTCGGGAACTTGGAGGGCGGGAGCTCAGCTTGCGGCGTGACGGCCCGTCCCTTAGAAACAAGCGCAGGGTGCCCACGGTCGTGACCAGAAGCCCCTTGGCGCAGGTACATAAGGGCCCTGAGGCCTCGCCGTTCTCTGGGTAAAGCTGGAGAGGTGAGCCATGCCGTGGGCCCGGCACCCTGCGGGCGGCAGGAAGCAGCTCAGGGGACTGCGGGGAGCGCCGGGGAGGGGTTGGGGCCTTGCGGACCCTGCCCTGCGCCCAGCGGGGCTGCTGCGTCTTGGCCGCTTGCGTGGGCGGTGGAGCAGTGCGCCCGTGGGGGTGGCTCCCTCCTGGGCTCTGGGCCCCGGGCGGCCCAGCCCCACCCCTGGTTCTCATCCTGCGCCGGAGCTGCCCGTGCACCGGTCAGGGCGGGTCTTGTCGAGGCCGTTGGGGCTGGGGGGTGGTTGGGGCCACTGGCGGCTGCCATGGTTGTCACCTAGGGGCCCTCGTGTCCGCCTCAGCCCAGGATGAGGCCCGGTGACGTCCTGTATGGAAGGAGCTTTTAGTGATTCTAAGTCGTCTTGTCATGAGACGGTCAGGGGCTCTGGCTGCGTTCAGTGCTTCACCCCTTCCCTGCCTCTGTGTCTCCTTTCAAACCTGCAAATGAGGTGATGCCGGGCATGGGGGATGGTGCTGGCAGGGTCTCCGGGCGGTCTCAGTGCTGCTGTGGACTGGGAGCCGTGGGTGTTGTCGTGACACCTGTCACATTGCAGTCTGCGTGTTCCGGGGTCAGATGGTGGAGGCCCTGTTGCCTCCACGCATGCCTGGGACCCCAAGGCCCTGGGGGTGATGCTGCTCGGCAGGGGTCCACTTTCGTTCGGGGGTCAGCGAGCTGTAGCAAACACTGGTTTGCTTTTCATGGAGATTTTTTTTTTACTCAGGCTTGACAAAATCCAGGTGCGTGGACACGTAGAATTCTCAGGGCCTGCCTATGTCAGGCTGCGGGCGGTGGGTGGCAGGGGAAGCGAGGTCTCAGCTGTGGCCACCGTGGGAGCTGAGCGTACACTCCTGTCTCCACAGGCGTCCGACCCCCGATCATGAATGGGCCCATGCATCCCCGGCCCCTGGTGGCGCTGCTCGACGGCCGGGACTGCACGGTGGAGATGCCCATCCTGAAGGACGTGGCCACAGTGGCCTTCTGTGACGCCCAGTCCACGCAGGAGATCCACGAGAAGGTAACGGTGTGGGGTGCTCGAGGGAGCGAGGAGGGCAGGAGGGTCCCTCAGCTGTGCGCCTCCATGGCGCCCAAGCCCCAGGCTGTGGCCATCATTGCCCTCGGCGTCGAAGGTGGGGACAGGGTTCCTCCGCGACACCTTGAGCCGCTGCCTTGAGCCGCTGCCGTTGTAACCAGTTGTTGCCAGGAAGTGGAGCCTGTGGCCGTGGATGTGGCCGATGAGCTGCATCGCCTGGGGCCCATGTTGGCCAGCGAGGGCATCGCAGGCTGGGCCACGCAGCTGCGCCCTCCCAGCGCCGGCGTCCAGCCTGCTAGCGGCGTCGCCAGGCCTGCTGGGGGATGGCGCGGGCGTCTCGGGGTCCCAGGACCGGCAGGAAGAGAAGGCGGAGCTCGGAGCCTCGCGGAGGGATGCGGCAGCTGCAGGAGCGTCCAGAAGACCAGAGGGCTCGACGCTGAGGCCCAGACGGCTCCCGGGGTCGAAGTCTCAGGCCCGGTGCCGCTGGGGGAGGGGGACACGAGCACGTGCCGCGGGTCCCAGAGGCGCGAAGCCTGCGCGCTCCCCGCATCCTGCGTGTGTACGTGGCAGGCGCGCTCCCGGCGGCCCGGGGCTGTGGTGTGGGGGGTGCGGGGGCCCTGGGCGGGGCGGCGGGTGCGGGGGTCAGCTCTGCAGGCCGCCCTGCACGGGGCAGGGCTGGGTGACCGGAGCCCGCTGTGCCCCGGAGCAGGGCTGAGAGGGCAGCTTCTGGCCACTTGTGGATCTTAAAGGGTTTCAAAGTAAAAATATTAAAAACCCAGCAATATCGGGAGCGAGAGACCGGCAGACGGAAGTGTTGAAGCAGCCTGAGTGATATTAAAGCAGGTTCTGAGAATAAATCTGAAAAGTGACACTAAACGGATGTTTTCCTTTAAGATCGTAACTGATCAAAACGATCGGAGGTTAGCTAAGAGCCAGATGTGCAGTCCGACCCCGGGGAGGGTCGGGCTGGGCCTCCGCGTGTCGGCGACTGCCACCCCCCCTGCGCACACTGAGAAAACCCCCGGTGCCAGAGGCTCCCGAGGGATGGGACGGAGCGCCCTGGCGACCCAAGGGGCACGCGGACGAGCAGCGCGGCCGGGGAAGGCGCCCTCCCAGCACTGGGGGGGCACTCGCAGGTGCAAACAGGCAACTGGAAACGGTAAACTGACAGGAAGCTTGGAAGCCACAGTCCAGGCCGCCGGGCAAAGATGTGGAGCTGCGCAGATCCAGGAGCTCGGGCCTGCTGCGCCGTGCGGCCCATTTCCCCAGCCTGGCTGTCAGGTGTGGCCAGGTGACCGAGTCCAACCAGGAAGAGCCACCAGGCTTTGTGTGCAGAGCCACCTCTCTCTTTCTGCTGGCTGGAAACCAAACGCAATGGGTGGAGCCTGGGCAGCCACCTGGAACCCAAGAGAAACCGTGTTTGGGAATAGCTGAAAAACAGGATGGGAGCCCTGGGCCCTGCTGGCTGTGGAGCTGACACAGGCCCCAGACCACTTGTCTGCAGGCTTCATCTCGGGGAGAGACAGCACATCACCATGGATCAGGGATTTCTGCCTCGTAACTAGCTGGACGCCAGGCGCTAAGTGTGGAGGAGACCCTATGCTATTACCATGGCCACCTGGTGAAGGAACCTTCCAGAGCTCAGTGGACACTCTGGCTCTCCCGGTGTGAACCCAGGACGCGTGTCGGGCCCACAGGATGCTCTGCTGTTCAAGGAGCACGTTACCCTGATGCTGGAGGTGGGGGTGTTAGCTACGAAGAGTCGCGGGCTGCTTCACACCTCCCAGGGAAAGCAGTTCTCGGCGCAGCGTTGTGTTATCTGATTAAAGTGCAGGAGCCCTGAAGACAGGCACCTGCGGAGGAAGGGGCCCTCGTGAGAACGGGCTTGTGGGTGGGATGGCGCCGTCAGCCGGCCCGGAGCAGGGGCCCCCAGGGCCAGGGGATAGACAGTAAGACAGCACTGGGGACGTGTCCGGGAAGATAGGAAGGACGTGGGAAATACAGCTGCAAGGCGCCCAGTCCCAGGAGGGAGGTGCTCGGGCCAGGAGACGTGAGGGGAACATGCAGACAAGATTTGACCCGCACCACGGTGGCACGGGGTGGCAGCAGGGTCAGTGTGACTCCAAGCAGAGGGTCAGGCCAGGGTCGGCCTTACCGGGGCCGTGAGCAGGTAGAGAGGGGAGGGGACGCGGGGAGGGAGCCCTGGCACAGCCACATGCAGGCAGGTGTCCCAACAGAAATATCAGGGGAGCTGCTGGGGGGCACATGTTTCCCACCCCACAGTCAGGACGAGGCGGAGGTGCATCCTGCAGAACACGGGGCTGTTTGTCGGGGCACAGTCAGAATCAGTCACGTGGCAGTGTCAAGACAGAGCACGTGAGAAGTGGCCAGGTGGGGACAGTACCTGCCAGAGCCGGAGGCTGGACAGCAGACACTCAGATGCCCCCCGACAGCAGGAGGGGGGTGCCGTGTGGGCGGCGATGCTCTTGCTCCACCAGGGCCACGGCACGCGGGCTTTGCCGGGGCTTGGCACTTCTGTCCTCCAGGCCTGCACACGCGGTGGCACAGGCACCCCCTGGAACCACACAGAAGTGTGTTGGAGGCACTAGGCCACTGCTGAGCTTTTCTGGCCGCAGCCGCACAAAACAAGCCACACCCTCGGTGTGGTCCTAGAAAGTCAGGTGCGCAGAAGTCCCGGAACCTTGTGCATCGGCACCTGTGTGTGAGGGGCAGGAGCGAGGCCCCGATGCGGCACGGTAGGCCCCGGCTTCCCTCCGTAAGCTACCCACTGAGTCCCCCACCCTGCTGCCACTGGCCCCGTGGCACTCCATTCTGGGGTGAGGATGCGGTCAGGTCGTCAAGCCTGACAAGCTTGGTCACAGCTGCACGTGGTGACATGAGTGAACACCTGGGGTCCCCCCCCCCCCGCAGACCTCCTCCCTGGGAGTCCGTGTGATGCCTGGCAGGGTCCCAGCCACTCCGCAGTCCTGACGGGGCGTGAGCAGCCCCCTGGAGAGGAGCTCGGGGCTGACTGCGGGAGTGCGGTGGCCCAGGCCTGGGTCCCCTGGACGGAGCTGCCTGTGGGGCAGGCCTGCAGCCAAGCCGGTCCTCCCAGGGCGGGTGGGCGGCCCTGAGCCGGGGCGGTCTCTGCCCTGAGAACACCTCGCTGGGCACCACGTGATTACAACTGCTCAGTAGAAAAAGGAATCGGACATGAAACCAATTTATTAAGAAACGTCAGTAGGTCACACTCAGGCACGTTGAGACTAAGGTAATAGATGGCCAGTTTGCGTCCATCACACGCAGCATCTCAAACTCTGCCCTGCTGGGCGTCGTGAAGTGGGTGCCAGTGGGTGAACGGCCCCCCGGGTGTGGCCGGCTGCCACACCGACACCCTCTCAGAGGCTTCTCCGACGGACCCACTGCTTTCCAGCCCCGAGGACCAACCTCCAGGAAATTGTGGAAGTTTTTTTTTAAGATTTTATTCATTTATTCATGATATATATAGAGAGAGGCAGAGACACAGGGACACAGGCAGAAGCTGGGAGCCTGACGTGGGACTCAATCCCGGGACTCCAGGATCGCGCTGTGGACCTAAGGCAGGCACCAAACCGCTGAGCCACCCAGGGATCCCCGAAATTGTGGATTTTTATGGCAGCACAGCCAACAGCGGAGCAGCCCAGACGCCCCAGCAGTTGGGACTTGGCACGCGTCTTGGCTTGTCCACGCTGGGACGGAGCAGGCACAGTCACGGTCGTGATGCGATCGCGTCCTGCCATGGCTCAGGGCTCAGGCGTGGGCACACACACCAGCCCATGCTTGGACAGTCTTCCTCCCCGCCTGTCCCCAGCCCAGCGCCTCTGCCCGGTCACCCCAGGAAGAGGCCTGTGCATGCATCTGGGTGCCCAGGCCCAAGACTCAGACTCACCCTGCAGCCTCCCCCTCCACAGTCCATCTGTCCCTGGATGCGTCTGTCCTCTTTCCAGGGCGTAGCCGTGTCCGAGGCCACCCTCCTCTCCGGTCCACACAGCTCGGCACGGTGGTAAGGTCTGCTCTCCCCGTTCCATCCAAGCCCTCCCTGTGTGCTCCCTGTGTGCAGCACTACTACTTGGCTGTCGCACGAGGGTCCTCACCCCACCCCACAGGCCAGTCAGGGAGCGGGAGTACATGCTTCTGCAGCCTTGACGTCCTGGGAGTTCAGGGGGAGGCGTCAGGACGTGGGCAGCTCCCTGCCTGCAGGAGCAGAGATCCCCAGGACGCTCAGGGCAGGAACAGAAGCAGGGGCCAGCGGCACCCTGCAGTCCCTTGAAGGCCCAGCCAGCCCGTGCCCCCTTGGCCCGTGTGGGGTCTGCGTGGGCATGTGCCCTGGGCCACCTTGGCCAGCCTCGGAATGGTCTGTATTTTGGGTTGCCCTCTGTCCGACAAGCTCAGCTGCTGTAGAGAAGCAGATGAGAGGAGCAGTCAGCAGCCTCCCCATGGGCCCTGCACCCCACGCAGGACCCCTGCTCCGTGCCTCTCATGTCAGCCCCGAGTCCAGGCTGTCCTGGGCACCACTCCTCGCTGCCTTCCTCATCCTGGGGTTCAAGGTCACCATGGCCTGCTGTTGGCGTCCCTCGCCGGCCAGGACACCCAGAGTCAGCACGAGAAGCTCAGTCTGGAGGAGGGCAGGGTGGCGGACGCCGGGCTGCGGGTCCCAGCAGCCAGCGCATGCCCTTGGGTGGGAGGTGTCCTCGATAGGAAGGCTGCTCTGTGTCCCGTAGGGAAGGACAACCCCGGCCCTTGGCTGTGAGGTTCCGTGTGCCTGGACCATCCTGGGTTCCCGGCCCTTGGGCCTGGAGACGGGACACGGTAGGCCCCCACCGGCGTCTGGCTGAGGTCCGTGCGTGACCTCTGCGGATCATGCCCTGGAAGGCGCCACTCACGGGGCTGCCTTCCTGGACCTGGGACAAACCCCCAGGAGGCAGGCATTCCCCACCCCTGACCGCAGCCCGGCTGTGGCGCCCACCTGCAGACCTCGAGGGTCAGGAGGCACCAGCTGGGGTGCTGTGCACGCTGGGGACGAGGCCGCAGCACAGCTGGGCTTGGTGTGCACGCGCCTGGCCCTGCGGGGAGCCTGGTCTGCATTGCTGGGCCCTGCAGGGGCGTGGCCTTGCGGGCCTGGTCCTGCGGGGGGGCGTGGTCTGCGTGCGCTTGGCCCTCCGGGGGCGTGGCCCGCGCGGGCCTGGTCCTGTGGGGGCGTGGTCCGCGTGTGCTTGGCCCTGCGGGGGCGTGGTCTGTATTGCTGGACCCTGCGGGGGGCGTGGCCTGTGCGGGGGCCTTGGTCCTGCGGGGGCGTGGTCTGTATTGCTGGACCCTGCGGGGGGCGTGGCCTGTGCGGGCCCGGCCCTGCGGGGGCGTGGTCTGTGTTGCTGGGCTGTGCGGGCCCGCCCTGTGGGGGCGTGGTCTGCGTGTGATTGTGCAGGCCCGGCCCTGCGGGGGCGTGGTCTCCGTGCGCTTTGCCCTGCGGGGGGCGTGGCCTCCCGTCCAGGTGTCGTCTGCACCTGCGCAGAGCTGCAGCTGTGGTTCCTGCGGGGCGGGGCCGGGGCCCGGCTGGAGCCCCAGCTTCCCAGAGGTCGCCTCCGTTGGGCGGTTTGCAAACAGTAGCGCCTCGGCCCACGTTGTGCAAACTCGGGAGACCGGACACTGACCTGCTCCTGGGGCTTCACGAACGGCAGCCAGGCCCGGAGACGCGTGGGCAGCGTCAGGGCCGGCGTGTGGGCGCAGATGGGGCCGTGGCGAAGCGGGCTGACCCGGGCCCCGGCTCCGACCCGTGTGCGTGCGTGCCGTCCGCGCCCCGGCGGGTCCTGCGGTTCCGAGGCGGCGTCCTCCTGCGCGTCCTGTCTGACCGCCTGGTGTCCACGCGGAAGGCGAGCCTCCTGCCCGCCCTCCCCAGCGCTTCTCTCCGGGGGCGCGGCCTCGGGCTGCTTGGGGGTCTGAGCGCAGAGCCAGCAGGTCACCCTGCGTCCCCTCAGATGTCACAGCAGTGGCTGCTGCCCTAGGATGTCCGCAGTCCCCAGCACACAGCGGAGGCGGGGGGGGGGGGGGTCGGGGGGACGTTTGCAGCTCCCCAGCTGGGCCCGGCCTCTGACCCTCTGACCGCGTGGCGCCTCCGCCGGCAGGTGCTGAACGAGGCGGTGGGGGCGCTGATGTACCACACCATCACGCTGACCAGGGAGGACCTGGAGAAGTTCAAAGCTCTGCGCATCATCGTCAGGATCGGCAGCGGATTCGACAACATCGACATCAAGTCAGCTGGGGATTTAGGTAGGACGCCCGGGTGTTTCCTCCCTTTTGCGACTTGGGGTGTTGCTTCTTCGGCGCGGTCTCCTCAGCTTTCCTCTCGTCTGTTGGTTTTGCTTTACACCAAGGATTCCCTTGCAGGCCCTTCTTGGGTTGGAGGTCACTTGTGAGCATCTTTCAGGGTTCAGGCCCCCCTCAAGCTCCCCAGTCAAATCGGCTCTCTCAGAAAACCTTGCAGGGGGTCACGTGCACCTGAGCAGGGCGCGCAGCTGCAGGGGGTGATCCTCCCATGATCAGGGCTGGCAGCTGCAGGAGTAACCCCCCCCCATGAGCAGGGTGCACACCTGCAGGGGTGACCGCCCCCATGAGCAGGGTGTGCAACTGCAGGGGTGACCCCCCCAATGAGCAGGGCGCGCAGCTACAGGGGTGACCCCCCCATGAGCAGGGCACGCGACTGCAAGGATGAACCCCCCCCATGAGCAGGGTGCGCAGCTGCAGGGGTGACCCCCCCACATGAGCAGGGCACGCGGCTGCAGGGGTGACACCCCCATGAACAGGGCGCGCAGCTGCAGGGGTGACCCCCCCCCATGAGCAGGGCGCATAGCTGCACACACACAGACCCCCCCGTCACCCTCACCCTCCCCGTGCCCGGTCTTGCCAGTCCTTTCCCCCGGTGCAGCTGAAGAACCGGGCAGAACGGCCTGCCATTTGCGTCTACCGCAAACTCGGTTTATTCTGCTCTCACGAGGATGCTCATGCCCTCCGCTGGCTCACATGATGGAGCCCACCCGCCCCACTGTCACCCGTCCCCAGGCTGCATCCCCAGCAAAGGTGCCTGCAGCAGAGTTGACCACAGCCTGGATGCTTTCTGCTCCGGGGACTCCCAGGGGGCTTTATACCTGTTCCCCGAGTCTGTCCTGTCTTGTTATTCTACAGCCTGGGCTCTGTTCCTCCACCAGGGACAGTCAGGGCCATGCCCTGTGGTCACCCTGGCCGTGTGTCCCCAGATCTAGGGGATGGTGTCCTTGTCACCTGGTCCTCCTGCTCCCCGCCGTCTCTTGTGTTCATGGTGGGCTGAGATGTTTCCAGAAGGGAGTGGAGGATCTGCTCTGGGCCCTCTCATGAAGCCCTGTTCATGCGTTGGGCATCATCCTGGCATTTAGGGTAGCGCAAGGAACCGGTAGGCGCCCTCCCCTCTGCAGGGAGGTGACCAGTCCCCGGGAAGCACTGTGCAGTCACAGGGGCAGGGGCGAGGAGGCGGCAGGGCAGGACAGGACAGGTGGGCGGGAGGGGCCAGGCTCGGGAGAGGCAGGTAGAAGTGCAGAGGTGCTGGGCATAGAGAAGCCTCAGCTCACTCCGCAGGGCTGCTGAGGGCCAGTGGGGGCCGTGGGGCTGTGAGGACAGGGCCACTCCATCCAAAGCCAGGTCCCAAATGGCCTGGGGGCCGAGGAAAGCAGGAGGGGTGGGGCCTGCGTGGCTGCGAGCTGGCGGTCAGGTGGCCCATGGTGCAGGCAGGGAGACCGGGTGTTGGCACCTGCCTGGGTGACCTCGCCTGTCCCGTCCCGCCTACTTGCTGGACCCGCAGGCGGGCCTACGTGGGGACGTTTCTGCGGCCCGTCTTGGGGGAAGCACCAGGACTGGCGTCGGTGACCTCGCCCGCGCGTCTGTGTTTCCAGGCATCGCTGTCTGCAACGTGCCGGCGGCGTCTGTCGAGGAGACCGCCGACTCCACCATGTGCCACATCCTCAACCTGTACCGCAGGACCACCTGGCTGCACCAGGCGCTGCGGGAAGGCACACGGGTGCAGAGCGTGGAGCAGATCCGGGAAGTGGCTTCCGGCGCCGCCAGGATCCGCGGGGAGACCTTGGGCATCATAGGACTCGGTGAGTTAGCGGAAGCCCTGTGGCTGGGCTGCTGGGCGCCCCCGCCCCCCCGGGGCAGCGCGGGGCCGAGTCCTCTCTGCCCCGGGAACGCCGGCTGTGGGTCACACAGGTGCTCACCAGTCACGTGCCTCTGCGCAGTTGTGCCTGCCCACTCACACGCTGACCCGTGCTCCCCGCGCTCACACGCCTCCCCCACCTGTACCCTATGGCACCCTGTGGTTGAGTGGACGTGGCCTTCAGGTGAGGGCCAGGTGGCCCTCAGCCCTGCTCCGGGGGGGAGCTGCTCACCCACCGCGCGGGCAGCTGTGAGTTCTGTTTCTCTGCCTTGTGTGTGGGCGCGTGTCGCTCCGAGCTCGGGCTCCATCCACCTGGGAGGCCCCGTGTGGACGGGACCCTCCCCCTACTGGCCCCGTGCCCTCCCCCCCCCCACCCCCACCGGCTCTGCAGCAGGAGAACCGTGGGACATTTGGGGTGTTCTCGAGCCAGGCATACACGTGCGTGAGTGCAAGGTGTCCACGAGGCACAGGCCTGTCTTCAGTACGGCTCCCGCCTTGCTGGAGGGGACGCACAACCCCCAGCGCGGCCCCCCGGGGCGCTGTGCCCCTCCCCTGGGTGGGGGGGCGCCTGACCTCAGCCGGCAGTGTCGTCAAGAGCCAGCAGGCCCCATTTCAGCGCGGCTGTGCCCCAGCGGCCTGGGCGGGCTGCGCCGGAGCCTTAGCCAGAGCCCCCTCCCGGTGCGTCCAGCGACTGCTCGCTTCAAGGTTGTGGCTGCTTAGAGCGCGAGCAGCGGAGCTCAGAGGGAGAGAATCCCAGACTCCACCCTGAGCGTGCTCCGTCGCGTGCGCCCCCCAGGCGCCCTTCGGGGATGTTAAAGGTGCTTGGAGTTTGGGTTCCCACGTGCCGCGTGGCAGACGCTCCGTGCGGGATGTCGGGGCGCAGCTGTTACCTGACCTCCCGACGCCGCCGGTTAGTAGTTTGGGTGGCATTGGCAGGACTGCTGTGCTCTGGCCTCACCTGGGGTCACTTGCAGGCGGGGCCGTGGCCTGGGGCCTGGTGGTCCCCTCTGGCGGACGCCCTCCGGTGCGCACGGCCCGCTCGGGCCACCTCAGGTGCGTGGGACGTTCCAGCCACCCGGGGGCTGCAGGAGGGGTGGGGCCCTGAGAGGTGGGGCTGGGTAGGCTGGTCCTGCGTCCAGGTCAGTGCGTCCCTCCCGGGGGCGCTCTGAACCCCTGTGGCTCCCTCCCTCCAAGGAGCGGGGCCCCTCGTCTGAAGTGGCAGCCCCACCTGCGCACTCCCTGGGGAGCACCTCCAGCCCCCCGCCCACTCCCTGAGTCCTGGCCCCACACGGCCACGCGGGTGTCCCCGCACTTGGCATCTGGATGCAGGGACCCGGGCCCATGGGGCTGCGCCTCCCACGCCGAGCTAGGCCCGCGGTGACGCGGTGTGTTGCCCTGCCAGGTCGCGTGGGGCAGGCGGTGGCACTCCGGGCCAAGGCCTTCGGTTTCAACGTGCTCTTCTACGACCCCTACCTGTCGGACGGCACCGAGCGGGCGCTGGGGCTGCAGCGGGTGAGCACCCTGCAGGACCTGCTCTTCCACAGCGACTGTGTGACCCTGCACTGCGGGCTCAACGAGCACAACCACCACCTCATCAACGACTTCACCGTCAAGCAGGTGCGCGCCTGCACCGCCTCCCCCGCCGTCCCCTGCCGTCCCCAGCCCTGCCACACCCACACCCCCAGGTCGGGGCAAGGGTCAGGGTAGGGTCACAGTAGGATCACGGCTAGGGTCAGGGTAGGGTCACGGTTAAGGTCAGTGTAGGATCATAGCTAGGGTCAAGGTAGGGTCATGGCTAAGGTCAGTGTAGGGTCACGACCAGGGTCAAGGTAGCGTCATGACTAGGGTCAGGGTAGGGTCACGACTAGGGTCAGGGTAGGTCACAGCTAAGGTCATGGTAGGGTCACAGCTAGGGTCATGGTAGGGTCACGACTAGGGTCAGGGTAGGGTTACGGCTAAGGTCAGGGTAGGGTCATGGCTAGGGTCATGGTAGGGTCACAACTAGGGTCAGGGTAGGGTTACAGCTAGGGTCATGGTGGGAGTTCTACACGTCCCACCGTTGCCTTAACCCACGACAAGTGCCTTTCCCTGCCCTGCGGGCTCCACCGCTGGGGGTCGTCTGCACTGAGGGGCCTGTTTCCTGAGTTCTGGGGGCTCCTGGCCCCACACACAGGGCACACGCCACACCCGATGGGCTGGGTCCTGCAGTGAGTGTGCCCGTGCGGTGCTTCAGTGCCGTGTCTCTGGGGCAAAGACAGATGACGGCTGGCAGCATCACACCGTGGCTGTGAGGCGTGGCCCTGGGTCAGGCAGGAGCTGGAACTAGCAGTGGCCTCTCATGGGCTCCGGGGTCCCCGGCAAGGGTGTGTGCCCGCACGGGGTCTGCCCCTGGCCCCTGTGGCCCCGTGGAGGATGAGCCCAGGCACCCGGGGCTCCTCTTTGCCTCCGGTCGGTGGGGTGGGGCTGGGGAGGGCGTGGGCACAGGCGTGGCGCTGGGGCGCTGGTCGGAGCCTCGCACCCCCAAGACCCGGGTGTGGGGCTTGGAGCTGCCTGTGTTCTGGGGGGCTCAGGGCCGTTGGCCCGAGGACGTGAAGCTGCGTGGGGACCGAGCGGGCGCCGCCACCCGAGGGAACAGGGCTCTCTGGCCACTGCACCAAAGACCATGTCTTGGGGTTTCGTTTCCGTCATCCCAGGATCATAGGGTCCTGAACCCACCTCTGCAGCTGTGTGCAGGGGTAGGGGCTTGGGCCACACCGTGTCCCAGAGGCGCCACATCCTTTCCGTGGGGGGATGTGCATCTGGGGGGCCAGGCCAGGAGAGCCCACAACTGCAGCCAGGGGTCCTCTGGGCGGGGTGCGGTCCCCAGGGCGGGGTGGGCGCGAGCCAAGAGGCCTGTGGGCTGATTCACGTGCCACTGTTTTTGTGTCTTCCCAGATGCGACAAGGCGCCTTCCTGGTGAACACGGCCCGGGGCGGCCTGGTCGACGAGAAGGCCTTGGCCCAGGCCCTGAAGGAGGGGCGGATCCGGGGCGCCGCCCTGGACGTGCACGAATCTGAGCCCTTCAGGTGCCTCCTGGCAGCGCCCTGGGTGATTCCTGGATGCCACCTCTCCCAAACCCGCCCTCGCCCGCGCTCACACCCACTCGCAGTCTGCAGGCCCCGGGCCCCGTTCTTGGGCTTTGTGTCCAGCCCCGCCAGGGCCCAGTGGGCAGGTGGCCAGCCCTGGAGGTGGGATGGTGAGGGCTCAGTCACGCGGTGCCTCGGGGCACTGAGCCGTGTGGCCGCGTCTGCAAAGGCCTTGACCCAGAAGGGGCAGCACTCGTCAGCCCTGCCGAGAGGGCCTGGGCCCTGCAGCTCCAGGGACCAGCGCTCAGCGGCGGGGGCCGGGGTATGGCCACAGGCTGGGTCACGCTCCCTCTGCCCCAGCCTGATCACTTTGTGCCATTTGTAGCTTTAGCCAGGGTCCCCTGAAGGACGCTCCCAACCTGATCTGCACCCCCCACGCGGCCTGGTACAGTGAGCAGGCGTCCATCGAGATGCGAGAGGAGGCGGCCCGGGAGATCCGGAGGGCCATCACAGGTGAGGTGGCCCCGAGCCTCCCTCAGAGGCCGTGAGATGGACCTGCCTGGCAGGCGTCCTCCGGGGGGCTCCCCACACAGCCCTCGAGTCCCCCGAGTCCCCCAGGGGCATCCCACACTGCCCACTCACGGTCACCCCGTGCCCTCACCCATGGGCCAGACAGCTGGCTGAGCTGGGGACCTGGGCTGGGCCTTGTCTGCTGCTTCCCGAGGTCCTCAGGGCTGGCAGACGTGGGGGGCCCCTGAGGGGCACCCCCTGGGCCGGGGAGTCTCGGAGCTGCGAGCTGCTGTGTCCCGGGAGGAGAGGCGGAGGGGGAGCCCCGCTGCGGGACCCCAGCCTGTGTCCGCCGCCGAGCTGCCACAGTGCTGGGGGCAGCCACGTGACAGGCCCTTCTCTGTCCACCGCACACGCCAGGCCGCATCCCCGACAGCCTGAAAAACTGTGTCAACAAGGACCACCTGACCGCCGCCACCCACTGGGCCAGCATGGACCCCGGCGTAGTGCACCCTGAGCTCAACGGGGCCGCCTACAGGTGAGCGGGTGGGGAGGGGGCGGGGACACGGGGTCCCCTGGACACGCGTGCTCGTGTGCGCCCCCAGGGACCAGGGGCCGGGCTGTGGGAGCCAGAGCCACCAGGCATGAGGCGAAGAGCCCATGGAGCAGCGGGCCGGGGGAGTCGTGGCCTGGGGGGGTCCCTGGGCCGAGGCCGCGGAAGGGACCCCGCCAGCCTCACGTGCCCTCCGTCCTCCCAGCAGGTACCCGCCGGGCGTGGTGGGCGTGGCCCCCAGCGGCATCCCCACTGCCGTCGAAGGCATCGTCCCCAGCGCCATGTCCCTGTCCCACGGCCTGCCCCCCGTGTCCCACCCGCCCCACGCCCCTTCTCCCGGCCAAACCGTCAAGCCCGAGGCAGATAGAGACCACGCGAGCGACCAGTTGTAGCCCGGGCGGAGCTCGACGGCCTCGGCGCAGGCAGGGCGGCGCCCTCGGAGCGGCGTGTGCAGAGGCAGCGCCTGTGGTGGCCCCGGCGCTGCAGAGACTGTCCAGGCGCCGGGCGGGGGAGGTGGCGCCGGCCTCCCCGCGTCCGCTGTAGTTGTCCCGTCCCGAGGGCCAGCCGCTGTCCTGTGTCCTTTGCGTCCTCGTTAAGCAAAAGAAGTTAGTAGTTAATTCTATCATGAATGTTCTCGTCTGTGTACAGTCTTTAGAACATTACAGAGGATTTGTTTGCTTAGCTGTCAACAGCAGGAGAGCCTGAGCGAACACTCAGCAGGCCGCGTCACACGGCGCCCCTCGTGTGGGACCGCGCCCCGGAACGAGGCAGTTGGCAAACTTCTCAGGACAACGAATCCTTCCCGTTTTTCTTTCTACGCCACTCAGTGCATTGTTTTTTCTACCTGCTTGTCTTATTTTTAGAATAATTTAGAAAAACAAAACAACGGCTGTTTTTCCTAATTTTGGCATGAATCCCCTTGTTCCAAACAAAGACGGCTTCGCAAAGTGGCTCCAAGAAGTGCGCGTCGCCCACAGCGCGCTCGGCCGTCGGCATCTGTCCTGGGGATGTGAGGGCGCAGCGTCCCGGCCTGCGCGGGTGCCGTCCTGCTGACGTGGTAGGCTAGCAATATTTTGGTTAAAATCATGTTTGTGACTGTAACCATTTGTATGAATTATTTTAAAGAAATAAAAATCCCAGAAAGAGCCGGCAGGCTCAGCATCTGTTTCGTGGCTTCACGGCCCCCAGTGGGTCTCCGTCCTGGCCCCAGTGGCCTCGGGGGCTGGAGCGGGCGGCCTTGGGCACCCGGGGCAGTGGTCCTGGGGGAGCCGGAGGCGGCAGGCCGTGTGGGTGTGGGCAGGAGCCGCGCTGTTTGTGGGGACCAGTGCACCCCCCCCGCCCGCCTGGGGCCGCGACCAGAGCAGGTGCCGCGGCCTGTGCAGGAGCGGGCTCCGGGATGCTGCGGGGACCCCGGCTTCACAGCGGTCCCTCCCTTGCGGCCGCCCAGGGCTAAACCAGGGCGTCCTGTTCACGGTCCCCTGGACGCCCGTTGCACGCCCGCCCCGCGCGGCCCACGGCGTAGCTGGCCCGCCTCCTGCCCGCTCTGCGGGGAAAGCACGGTGGACGGTGACCGCTGAGGGGGCTCCTGGGGACACGCCTTGGTGTTGCCACACTCAGGGTCTGCAGGACAGGACTGCGGGTTGGGAGCCGCCGTCCTGCGGGGCTGGGGTCCCGGCCGAGCCCCTGCCACTGGCGCCCGTCCTCCCAGATCTCCGCGTGCGTCCGGAGCGCGGGGTTTGCGTCTGCGCTCAACCCTGGGACGTTCTCAGCCCGTCTTCAGGCGTTTGCCTTCATTCCTCTTCCCTGAGGGACCCGCGTGGTGGGGAAAACGGGGGCACGCGGGGATGTGCGGGGGCGACGGACCAGGAACCGAGGAGGAAGCACTGCCCATGCCCATGTCAGAGGTGTCCCCGGCAGCTGCATGACGGGTGGGCCCACGTCACAGATGGAAGATGGGGCCGAATCCCAGAAGGAGCCGCCCACGCAACGGTCGGCTCTTCGAACACATTAATAGAATGGACCAAAGTGTGCCGGACAGACGGACGCAGGGAGGCAGCCCCGAGGTCACACGCCGGAAATCCCGGAGAGGACAACCACCTGCCCAAACCCACGGAGGCGCGGCTGCTGAGCAGCTCTAGGACCTGACCTCGAACGCGCGCTTCCTCCAAAGTCCCAGGCGGAGGTGGTTCCCAGCGGAGTCTCGGCAAACACTTAGAGGCGGAACTAATTCCGCGGACCCGGGGGGGCACGGGGGGACGGAGGGCGCCCTCCCAACGCAGCTCACGGGCCGACGCGCAGTCCAAATCCCTGAAGGAAGGAGCACCGACTAGAATCCTCCTGAAGCCTGTTCGCAGCTGGAGTGACCGGCCCTACGAAGCCAGTGCAGCTGCTGCGGGGACGGACCGCGGGGACACCTGGGGGGTCGTGTCCCTCGGGAGCAGGGACAGGGTGAGGGGCACCTGGGGGGTCACGGGACACGGGGACCGGGGCCTCTCCAGGTCCCAGCCCGTCTGTGCAAGCCCGTCTGCTGAAGGCTTTCTTCAGAAACCTGGAAACCCTCTGGCTGGGTCGGTAGGAGACGCGGGCACTAGGAAGTGGCCGGACGGGACCCTTCGGAGGGCGGGCCGGGCTCTACTGGCGCTGCCTCTGCCTGCGGGCGGCTCTGCAGACGGGCGGACGGACAGGACGGACACGGGGTCCTCAGGGAGGCCAGCCCGCGCCGCGACACCCGAACCCCGACGGGAAGCCCCCCCCGTGGGGGTGTGGGGCGCCGTGGGGCTGCAGCCGGAGGGGCGTCTCCACCCTGCTGGGGGCCAGGCCGGGCGGCCTGCCAGCCCCCTCCCGGTGACCTGGGCGCGCCCCCGCCCCTCCTACACCCCCCTCCCGCCGGAGCACCCGCTGCCCCCCGGCTGCTCTCAGCTGCGTTTGCAGAATTGATTTTCCAGCAAACACACGTGAGGGAGACCCTGGGACGAGGGCCAGTGTGGGGCCGCCCCGGAAAGCGTGGGGTTCCCCCGGCAGGGCTGTGCCGGCACATGGGGGGGACCTGAGGTCGCCTAGCAGCCCCGCCTCACGGCCCAGCCGGCCGCCGGCACCCCAACCCCCAGGCGCCCACCCCGGAGCAGCCGGAGGGGCCTCCCCGGTGTGCGAGACCCGGCAATATCCCCGAGGCGCCGAGGACGGCGGCGGGGAGATCCCTCCGTGGCCCTCTGTGGCCTGCGCCCTCCCTGCCCCGGCGCCTTCCCATGCAGCCCGCGGCCCGGACGCCCCAGGGCCCTTGTCCTCGCTTCTCCCCTCGCGCTCGGCCCGTGTCTCCATGTCCCATGAGCTGCCGGTTTCAGACTCTGTTTCCTATTTGGGAAATTATGACAGGTGTCTTCTTGATTTGTAAGCGTTCTTTACATATTAAGGAAATCAGACTTACCCACAGCGTGAGCTGAGCCTACTCTCCTCGCCTGCTGGTGTAACTGCTGCGTGCACACCCCCACCGCCCAGCACCCCGCGCCAGCTCGTGCTCCCCTTCACCCTGGGGCCGCGGCCCTCGCCGGGCTGTGTCTCCCGGGGCTCGGGCAGCCCGGCCCCCGCCACCCGTCTTGGCGCAGCTGGCTGTTCCGGGGTGTCGTGGGAAAGCCCGCGTGCACAGGGCCCCCCATGTGAAGGGGGCGGCTCCCCCTCCTGGCCATGTGTTCCTCACAGCCCCGCCCCAGGGGAGGCTGCCCCCCAGCCCCCTCTCCTCACCCACCCAGGGCCAACCCGCACCCGGGGCCACAGCTCGCGGGAACCCTGCCGGGAGCTGGTCCTGCCCCTGCTGCCCTCCTGCCGGGTCCAGGAAGGCAGGGGGGACGGGGGAGGGCACGGGCAGGGGGCCCTCAGGGGGACGTGGCCTCCATCGCACCCTGTCCTACGAGCTCCATGGCGCAGGGGGCGGTGGCCGTCTGCTGGGGCACCCCCCGGGGCGCACCCCCCCGCAGCTGCCTGGGGCCCGGGAGCCGGCAGGGGAGGCCCGTTGGCAGCAGCCGCGCAGGGCCGGGGGCCAAGCTTCCAATAAAAGTGGTGAGTGTTTGAGCAAATGGAAGATCCTGGAAAAAGCAAAGGAAAAAACCCGTCCTTGGGTCCAGCTGTTGGGCCTGGGAGGACTGGGGGGTGGCGGGGGGGGGGGCAGCTGCCAGGACTGGCCCCAGGCCTCGGGGGACGCAGGTGCGGGCCGGCTGAGGCCCCCCCCGTGGGCACTGGCTTCCTGGGGGGCCCGAGCCCCCCCGCAGGGCCCGCTGCCCCTCCCCCGGGCTCCCCCACAGGGCCAGCTGTCCCCGAGGGCAGGGTGGCCGGAGGGCTGCCCCCAGGAGGCTCGCTGGGTCCCGGCCCGCCGAGCCCCTGCCCCACGTGGGCCCCGAGGCCAGATCAGGAGTGTGGGGCACGGCCTTGGGTGGGAAGGCACAGCCCCGAGCACTGGGCTCCTGCTGCCCCGGAGGCAGGCCGGGCCCACCCCAGCCCAGGACACCCACGAGGGGCGCCCCCTGCCGGCCGTGACTCCCAGGGGCCGCAGGGGGCGAGCGCCGCGGGAAGGGCCTGGGCGCCCACCATGGAGCCACGCGCGGCCTGGGCAGTCTGCAGGGGCGGGAGCTCCACTGCCGTGACCGTGCGGGCCTAGAAACTGCCAGAAACAGCGGGTGCAGGTGCAGCCACCTGCACGTTTACGGCTCAAATTCAAGCCGCGACCCGAGGCGATGCCACAGGGAAGGCGGAGTGACCTGCGTCCCCGCGCCCCGGCCGCCTCGGCCTCCTGCCTCCCGTGCACAGCCAGCGGGTGGGAGCGTCCCTGCTGTCACGCCGCGGGGACCCGCGCAGCCTGGGCCGAAGGAAGTCTCGGCGAGTAGGTGTCTCGGCGACCACCGCGGACCACAAGGAAGTCTGCAGCGAACAAGCAGTGAGGAGGCCAAGCAACGTCCTCAGGCGCAACCAGTGGGCGCCGCGTGGGGTGGGGCGGGGGGGGGGGGTCACCAGAGGGCGTGGCCCAGTGCATGAGGACCTGACGAGCCAGGCCACCCTCCCGGGTCTCCGTCCCACCGGCGGTGTGCGGCCAACACACGCACCTCTTCCAGCAGGCTGGAGGTTGGGCACGAGGTCACAGGCGTGCAGGCCCCTGGGGGGAGACGAGGTCATGGGGGTGCAGGACCCTGCGGAGGGGGACACAAGGTCACAGGCGTGCAGGCCCCTGGGGGGGCGAGGACACGGCGGCGCCGCGGCAGCAGTGGGACATGTCCGCCTTCACCATCAGGCCAAGGGCTGGAATAGAGAGAGGTTTTCCAAGTCCCAGAGACAAAGGGCGGTGAGCAGGTCAGCGTCCTGCCGGCGGGGAGGGGCGAGTCAGGGGAGGCGGCACCTGCGGGGTGGCCAAAGCACAGTTACCCCCCCCCCCCCGCACCTGCATCAGCTCGGGGGGAGCTTGGCCGAGTCACGAGAGGCAAAGGCACAGGCACGGATCGCATGACTCCCCTCGCATGAGCCGCGGGGGCTGGGGCTGGGGGCCCGCCAGGAAACGGGACCTCTGAGAGCCATGGAATGTTCTGGAAGTAAATACACATGACGGCATGACAGTTGCACAACCTCGTGAGTAAAAACCCCTGGATGATACCCTCTAGAAGGTGAGTTTTGTGTCATGTGAGTTGTATCTCAGTGAAGCTTTTTTCTTTGTTTTAGAGAAATGCTCCCTCTACAGCCGTGTCCTCCCCCGTCTGTCCTTTGCCGGCAGCCGGGGCGCCTGCGCTGACCCGCCGCGCACCCCAGCGGTGACCCTGCAGCCGAGGGCCGTTTCCCCAGAGCGCCCGGTTCCCTCTGACCCTCCGCCCATAGGGTTTGCAGGGCGGCTCCCGAGAACGTTCTGTCCCCCAGGGGACCTGCCCCGTCCAGGGGGCCTCCCAGGCCTTCGGCAGGGCCCACGCAGGGGGGGGGGCGGGGCCCCTGCGCACCCCAGCTCCAGGGGAACCCTTCGTGCGGGACCCCCCAGCTGTGCACGGAGCCCCAGGGCCTGGGGCAGGGAGCACATCTGGCGGGGACGCGGGGCTGCAGCCTGCACAGGGTGGTCCAGCCCGACACCGAAGGACCAGGGAGGGACCGGGCTACTCGGGCCGCTGAGCCGTCCCCACCT